TATTTTAAAACCTCTGGTTCTAAATGTGGCATATTGAACATGTATTTAAAGCATCTGTTTACAAAAATCTGTGTCACTTTGACACTTTGAGACTTTCTTCGCTGCGTTTCACTGTTTTATTTGACCAACTGAGGCAGAAAACTGGAATCACTACAGGAGGTGGTCAGATGAGAGTCAATGTTTACTTTGTTGCAAAATAAAGCAGAAGAAAAATCACAGATTTGACACAAAAATATTTTATTTAGCAGCTGAACAGCCTGCCGTTTTAATTTTTTTTAATTACAGTGTGTTTCAAAACTATGCATGTCTCTTGAGCTTTATCCACATTTTTTCAAATTAGATCCACAAATAAATGTATTTATTGGAATTTTATCTACAAGAATAAAATACATTGTATAATATGGTGACATGTTTACAAAGGGAATTCAGAAGATCCTTTTGCATTTGCATCGATGGTCATGGTTCCTGTCAGTCAGACGCAGCAGCTTGTTGGGATCTGCAAAGACTTTTCTAACTGCAGATTTGTACATTTAATCTGCAGCAGTAAACTTGTTCAGGTATTTGTTGCAGAAATGCAAATTACAGGCTGATGCATATTTTTCTTCCTTAATGTTCAGCTATGCTGTGTTTATTCCTCTTCTCAGTTGAACAAAATCGATTTGTATTTACAGTAATCTGCTGGTTTTAAGGAACGTTCTCCAGAGCCACAATGTTCAGCTGCTGAATGAAAACATTTTGTCACGCCTCTGATTACTCTAGCAGAAGTAATTCCCTTTTTTCCTTTGGATTCTCTGCTTCCGCCAAGCCAATCTGCCTCAAGCTGTTAAACATTTGTCAAAAAAGTGTCTGGATTCATATTTTCTCCAAAGCAGGAACACTCCAGAAGCCCGCTTCAGAGCCTGCTGCACTCCAGCTGTTGAACTGCAGCGTTAGCCTGTATAAAACATGGAGGTTTTCATCTGGAGCCGAGTGTTTGAAAAAGGCGGCCCACCAGCTGGGTGTAGCAGATGGCCGCTCTGCCTTAGTCTGGTTCTGCTGGACGTCTCTTTTAGTTTAAAAGAAGTTCTCCTTTCCTCTGTCATCTGCTGCTCTGAGCATGCTCAGTGCCGTCTGTTGGCTTCTGCAGTCAGTTACATTACATCATATATTTGGATTGAACTGGTGTTTGGTTAAACTGGTTCCAGTTTTTCAGAATAAGACATTTGATGTTGATTGGCATCTTGCTTATCTTCAGACATGACAACATATAGAACAACCAGTAAAAAATGAAATCTGAAAATAAAATCCATCTGTTGCAGACAGTTTTGTTCCACCTTTAAGCTTCTCTTTTAATTCCTATTATATCAGAGAAACTGATTCCAGATCAGATGAAGCTTCTGCTGCTGATTTTTGATGTTAATAAGCTAAAAGAAAAAAATGAATCATAACCATTTGGATAATAATTTACCGTTTTGCTCACCCATTCTGACATTTTAACTAATAGAGATGGAGTATTGATTTTTTATCACTTGTCAACATGTCATCGTCCATATATCTTAAATGATGACCTTAAATTATCTTAAATGACATGATTATTTGAAAATGAATGCTGGAATAATTGCTGTTAATAATAATCTTGTATTTGACTTTGATTGAAAACAATATTCATAATAATTTACATCATAGGTATCATCACACCTATGAAAGACAGACTCAAGACATTTTTTAGTAAATAAGAGATAGTTTGACTCTAAACTCAACTACATAACATCTGTTACTTCGATGGCATGAGGAGACGCTGCCTCAGTACTGACTGCAGCTCCAAACCAACATCATGTGGAATTATTTCAGTAATGTTTTTTCCTCAGTAATATTCTGTTTGTCTCTTATTCTTTAAACAAAAACCGAGAATTTCCTGCGTTTTTCCCATTTTTATGCCGATATTGCTAACAGGTACAGAAAGCACAAAGACCTGACATCCAGGATGAAACAGGAAAACATCTATAAACCTGAAGTTTTCTACTGAGGGGTGAAAACGTTGAATAGTGAGAATGAATTGTTAAAATACCTGGAGGTCATTTAACAAGCTGTCAGTCAAGATGTAATGAAAACCAAAACCCACTTGAAGTTTTTTCACCAGTTCACATTTGCACCAGTTTGGAATTCTGTAATACATTTTAATAACCATTTAAAGATGAATTTTGATATTAGGTTTGTCTGAAAATGGTTCAGTGTGATTCTGGAAATCTTTTCTTTGACCTGTTCACCAGCTGGACCTGCTCCTCCGTCTTCCTGGTGAATCCTTGACAAACAGAACTCACTTCCTGTGATTCCTCAGTGAGCGTTTTTGTTCCCGACTCCGGTGGCAGCTGGCCATGCATTTGATTTATCGAAAGGAGAAACTATGAAGCTTACTCTGTGACGGCCCAGAAGCTTTAAAATTTAAGATGTCATTGACCTGATGAATGGAGGGAGGAGAGCTGGGAGCTGCCCGCTGCAGTCATATGTCACTGTCCGAAGGGATGAGGGACGCTGCCTGTTGGCCAGCTTCACCAACACTCACTCAGTGACCTGCACTCAGATCCCCTCTGCTGTTTGTTAGAGTTCAAGTTATATGTACCGATATGTAGAGAAATTATTGGTTCTAGAGCCGACAGCATGAAAACAAAGAACTCGAGCTTTGAATGATTAAAGCACGTTGTTTTTAACTGTTGTGTTGATAAAAACATAAACATTTGTCATCATGAAATGCACATTTATTTTATTAACCTTAATTTCACCAGGAAAATATCAGTGAGATTAAAAATCCTGGCCAAGAATGGCAGCAGCAAACAGAGTCTGCAGAACATTCACAGCTGAACTGGAAAAGTGAACAGTACCATAACTTTCTGCTTTTGGCTAAAATCAAAACATCAAAAGATTTTTTAATATTGTTTTATTTTTTAAATTTGATCTTTATTTTTGCAGGTTTAGACCTTAAAGCTCACTCACAGCAGAGACCTGTCTACATGCTTTACAATGAACATGAATGTAACTCTACATAATTTTATCTTATTTTTCATTAAATGTCTTTCAACATTTTAATTTGCATTAATCATAAATCAACATTTATTTTCAATATTTTACTATTGTTTGACAGCTTCATAAAAGAGCCTGGCTGTTGATTCCCATCAAAAATAAATCACTTAAACAGACAATAATTACTGAATCTGGGCCAATCGGAGGTTAAACGCTGCATTGATCGTTCAGAATGAATTCTAACGAATCTGGTCTCTGAAATCAGCTGAAACCAGCCGGGTTGATATCTGTCCTCAGCTCATCTGTCCTCCTGATTTAAAGGACTGTTCCATGTTACATTTCATCCTTTCTGCTTCAGGCTCAGATTATTTCCCAGTTTTTTTCTGGGAAATAACTTTTCTCTTTTTGCAGAGTGGATGTGTGAATTGCAAGGAGTCTGATTCAACTAAATGTGAATGTCCTCAAAAACCTTCAGCACTCAGAAGAGGAAACTGCAGTGGTGCAACATTTAAATGAGAAGTACACATGCAGGTGAAGATGGGATGCTGAGACAGATACATATATAACTTTGTGTAGAAATCAGCAGCAAACTTTCATTTAAATCACATTGAAACTGTTGAAGGCGCTGAAGTTAAAACTGCACTTTGTTCAGAAACATGATGTTAAAGTGCTGAGAAGCATCTTGTTTTAATGACTTTTCCTCTGTTAAATGACTGTTTAAATGAACACACCTGACTCCTGTCTCCATATGCTGGTTGCTGTCTCTCATGGTGCAGTAAGAAACGTTTACAAAAAATATGTTTGCTCCATATTTATTACAGTTAACGTGTAGTGACAGTACAGCATCAGAGAGATAATGTGTGAGAAAATGAAGCTCTTCCACCTCCTCCCTCAGATACTATTGCATTCTGCAAAAATGCAAAGCTCCTGGTCAAAAACAAACAGAGCCAGGAGGAACGTCTGTGCAGTCAATCACCCTCGTTTACATGCTGCTAAGTATGCAAATGGAAAGTTACAAGCATGTTGGCCACACTTCCAAATATTGAATAACATTGACGGCCATCCATGAAGCAAAGCGTAAAACAATGTTTTTTCTTTTCTTACCAAGCTAAGTTTCTGACTTACACTCTACAGCAGGATCTGAAATGATCCACTTTGATTCCTTCGGGACAACTGGAATTTCTTATAAGACAAAAAGAGAAATCTTTTGAAACTTGCTCTGGTTTTTTCTTCAAACTTGTGAGATTATTCATGTGAAATGTTTGTTGTTTTTCATAACAAGCCTCTCTTCTACATGAGATCTTGGATCTCACTGAGACGGCCTGTATAAATAAAGGTCTAGCATAGAAACGATGCTTTCCATTGAACGATCTTTACATTTTTATTTATGCTGTTTTTAAAATCTATCAAATTGGAACATTGGCTGTACTTCACAAGAACCGGCTAGATGGATGCACAGAGGCGGTGAGAAATATGTGAGGTGCTCCGTCATCATCGATCAGTATAGTGCTAGGAAACACAAAGAGGTCTTTAATTGGTTGCCCGGGCGCCTGTAAATGTAATTAGTACATCGAAATTGGGCCACAGGCTACACCTGCACATCTGGTGAGCCATACATCATTTTTTGCATCCGTTGTCCTCTGCACTGGAACAGAATAAAGTGGTTTCGTAGCCAGTATTTGACGTGCCTATCAAATAAGATTCTTTGCTATGTAAGCTGAAAAAAACGAGCCTGTTGTTTGTGCCGCAGGGAACAGAGATGCATATATTTGTCATAATCTGTTAGCTTGATTGGCCAGTTGTTAACGCTGAAAGCGATTCTGTTGTCATCTCCTTGGAGGATGCTTTATAGCCCCAGACTATCCTCCAGCCTGGAACTAACCAGCCACATCTCTGGCTCACTTGTGGCTGTTTTACATCAGCTGGCGTGATTAAAAGACCTGACAGATGTAGATGTATATGTTGACCCAACTAACGTCCCTGTGTCTCTGATTTTCCTGCAGTTGTACAGCTCAGTCGACTTTGGAAGGAAATGGATGCTCATCCACGAACACGTCACCCCGAACAGATTCTACTGGTGAGTCATCTCTTCTCATGTCTCGGCTGCTGCATTCCTCGTCTCTAAAGTTGTTTGCTCAGGAATGCAGCAAGTGCTTTTGACTCAGAACAAGGCCTCTGACTGGCAGTGATGGTGGAGAAATCCTGCACATTTCTGTAGTTTGACGCAATGAGCCAGAGCTTTATATTTTTATATCTCCTTAAGCGGTACAGGAAAGTGTTCACCCCCATTCACTTTGTCCACATTATGTTACTTCATAGATTTATTGTGTGTTTGAGTATTCTTCTGTCTCAAAGATCAAGGCACAGCACTCTATAATAACCAGGCAAAATAGCTTTTTGGAAAGATGTGCATCAGCTTTTATTAACAAAAAAATTAAAATATGTACCTTAATATTTTTCTTAAAGCCTCTTTGGCACCAATCACAGCGCGTCTTTTTGGCACAGAAGTTTTAAAGCATTTTCTTCCATTTTTTGCTCCAGATCCTGTCAGGGTCAGGCAGGATGGATGGGCAGTGTAGAAAACGCCACGTCTAGGTCTTAGTTTGCTTCAGGTCACCGACCCTCAGTGGACCCACAGAGCTTAGGTACAACACAGGTTGTACCTAAGCTCTGTTATTTTATCTATTATGAATAGATAAAATCCACAAATGCTTGAGACCTCCTTTATAAATGTGTCTAACTTCCCACAGTTCAAACAGCAAACAGGCCTTAATGTGCATTAATACACACAGAGGAGACAGTACTGCAGAAAGGCTATTCTTCACCCTCATCTGATGTCCGGAGCTGAGGAGGTTTTCTCTAAGAACCTCTCTAAGCTTCAGTGTTGTTGCTTTGCGTTTCTGAAGATTTCTGAAGATTAGAGTAAATTCCTTCCACTTCACTGCTTGGTTTTGCACCATCAACTAAGAGACCTTATATAGAGTAAAGCTATTTCATAAAAATAATGTTAAATAAGCCACGTGTCAGCACACCTGAATAAAGAGGTGATTAACAGGACTCTGGAGAACCTGTCTGCATACTGAGGAGGTGATACAGCCGTTTGATTCAGGTGTTGGACCACATCTACAGGTTACAGAACGCCGACCCTTAAGGTCGGGATTAGAAGACTCTGATCTCAGGGATAAGAACCTTTATAGCAACATGCTACCGTTTACTATAATGTCCTTCATGCAGAAAAGCTACATGAAGGACATTTTAAATCTGACCTTGCTGACACTTTGGAATAAAAACCTGCACTGATGTTCATTTTAAAATAAATAATGTAACAAAATGTGGAAAAACGTGAAGGGATGAAAATACATTCTAGTGACCCTGTAGATTCAGCTTCCAGTAGCATTTATATGCCTCTTAATAGGTTAATAAATGTCTAGAGTTTCTTTTAAACTAAACCAGTGGAAGCAGGAGGAGTAATTTTCTTATGATGCAGACATACAGATTTGGAAGCAGGACCTATGACTAATAACAAATCAGGGATGCTCCTGTCGCTTCATATCCACTCAGCCTCCCTCTCACTCCCCCTGTGGTGCACCAACTCTGTCTGAAAGTGCACACTCATCACAAATGTTGGACTGAATGTCGCCCAGCTCATCACTCCTCCACCCCTCCCTCTCTGAGGTGACTGGCTGAGCCTGGGATTGCCTTGGGTTGTACTCTCTACTGCTCATAAATCTGGAGCTACATCCATGTCACTGCAGAGATCCTAAATTTGTGCAAAATACATCACTGACTTTACCCTTTGCTGCCAAAACCATTTCAAGGACACTGGAGCAGTGGATGGGTCTGAAGCTCAGCCAGGCTGGACTCCAGTTGGCTGGATCTGCTCAGCTGCTCCATCGACCTCAGAGGGATTTTAAATATTGCCACAGTTGGAGACCAGAAGCTGCCATTCAGTCTAATCCACCAGATGCAGAAAGTGAAAACTCAAAACCCGTGTATGATTAGTCCTTTCAATCATCAATAAAGAACTTTAAGTTTAGGCTCCAATTCAAACACTTTGGATGTGAGTTTGGAGCCAATCTCCTCCACCAAACTGCCTCAAAGCTTCAAGCTGTTGATTTCAGGTCAAGTTAAAGAGGTAGTCCTCCCTGTCCATCATCCCCCCAGTTTGAACAATCCAACAGGCCCACAGCATGACGCTACCATCAGCAGCGTTCCCCTGCTGCTTCAGTGAGGCTGGAGTCCAGCAGCTTCCTCTTCCTGGTTAGTTTTACCTTTAGTGGTTCTTGAGTCTTTCTTCAACATCCAAACTAATGTTCCTTGATTTCAGGTGACAGTTTGGGTCAGATGAGTGAATTCTTAGCAAAGAACAACAATTCCAACCATATAACCAAAATTACTTAAAAACAATTAATTCTCCCATTCTCTGGATGACTGTGACCCAAAAACAAGTGATACTTAAACCCAGCAGACAAATTGAATGAAAACATTCTTAAGTCATTTCCTGTAAACTAAGTGTTGATCCGCAGAAACGAACCCTTCTCGTAGGTTTTTGTACTTCTCTCCTCCTAAATGAATCTCTCTGCTGACATCTTGTTCTGTTGTCTGGAAGTTTTGTCTTCTAGAGTGAATATGCATAACCACAAATCCCACACTACTAAATCAAGCAACAATAAATCAAGGCATAAAGAAATTAGTTAGCATAAAATGTTTATTTTTTCATAGAAAATCTGTAATTCAAATGAACAGGAATTTATTTTTAGGGCTTAAATTAATTCTGCTCTGCTAAAGGAATTCAGGCCTCTGCCAGTTTCTGCTGCTTGTTTGCTCTCCATTCATTCTTTGGCAACAACTCTAAACTAATCTTTCTTTATATTTTTCATTTCCAATGTATTCATGCATTTGTCCCTGTTTTCCCTGCCAGGTCTGTTTCTGGACTGGACAAAGAACCAGACCTGGTCCACATGGAGGCTCACACTCCAGATGGAAGTAAGTGACTTTCAGGTCTTTGTGAGGAAACACAATGCAGTTTGTTCAGGAAATAATCAACCAGGAAAGAAGTTTGGGTCCAGAATTAAGCCCTAGGCGTCAGCCTTAATGAATCTTGCTTCTCCTTCTTTCCATTTTACTCGGTGAATTTCAGCTCCTTAACTCTGAATGGCAGCGCCATTGAAATACAATAAGTGCTAAAGTTTTTACACCAAACTCAGAGATTCAAGCTTTCTGTCTGATTGACAGGATGCTTGTTTGTCATATCTGTGCAACGAGAATAACTAGGTGCTGCAAAGAGAAGCAAATTAACCGAGGAAATGTCAGGCTGCGTGGATGGGAGGAGAACAAACAGTAAAACACAAAAACTGTTTTTGATCTGATTGAGAACGGTGGAGTATGGAGATGCTTTCAGCTTATCTTGAACAGGTGATGCGTTGCTGTGACTCTGTTTGTTAATATGCATGAGAGGAATAACAACTTTAACGGCTCTTCCTGTGTGTGTGGCTGACAGATGTGCAGTATGTCACATGCAGAGCTCAGATCTGCTCCGAAGCCAACCGGAATTATCCATTCCCGGGATACATCGACATCAGCTCTCTGGTGGTTCAAGATGACTACATTTTCATACAGGTAGGCCTCCAATCTGTCTCCCCATCATACAACTCAATGTAGCCAAGCTTAGTTCCCCTTCAAATATGCACACTCTTTGAACTTTTACCTATTTCACATTACAACCAGAAACGTCATTATTATGTTATTGGAACTTTGTGTGATAGACCAACACAAAGTAAAGGATTTATCTCAAACTCCCTTTACTCTTTTTCTTTTACTATTATAGCAGTGAATCTTTTACGATGCGTCTCCACCAGATTTGTACATATTGAGACTGAAATTTTTACCCTTTCTTCTTTTCTAAAGAGCTCATGCTCAGTCAAATCGAAGAGAGATCATCTATGGACATACATTTCCAGGTCTTACCTCAGAGTCTTAGGTTTGGACTGGCAAAGCTTACGTTAGGTAGTTGGACAGGTAGCTGATAGTTCTTGGGTCCAGGAGCAGCAGTGAACCTTCGTTCTGACCATGGAACAGTGGACCGGGTCTTTACCCTGGTGATGTTCAACAAAGTCACAGGTGTTTGCTTCTCTGGCCTACATTAGGCATTCGTTGGATGTGATGTGGGACTATGGAGTGTTTTAAGGAGAATCCAATCCTAGTCATTTAAAATCCACAGGTGTGTCAACAGGTTGAGCCTGTTCCCAGTGTGCGTTGGACTCTACCAGGCCTCTACAAACCAAACCTGTTTCTGGACCGGATCTGAAGGTGATGGAGAGGAGGACATCTGGTTGGAATATTGTTTCATCTTAGTTTTTTTGCAGATGATGTGGTTCTGTTGGTTTCCTCCAGCTGTGACCTCCAGCGCTCACTGCTTGGTTTGAAGCCAGAAGTCTTGGATCATGGTTTATAGTTCAGACGTGATGGGAGAATGAAGCAGGTGGATTGGAGCTTTGCCCGCAGCTATGCCAGCACTGCTGTGCTCTGTTGTGGTGAAGAAAGAGCTGAGCCAAACAGCAAAGTTCTTGATTTAATGTTCTGTCTACATCCAGTCCTGACCTTTGGTCATGACATCGATCTGGTTCTGTTGGTCATGATTCATGATAGGAGTGGATGAAATGAGCTTTCTCCAGAGACTTCTAGGGGTGAGGAGCTCTGCCATCCAGAGGATGCCTCCATGGCGCCTCCCCTTGATGCTGATGCGGTCCCACTGAGGGGAGAGCCTGGGAGACGCTCACATCCTGTCTGGCCTGGGAATGCTTTGGGATTCCCCAGAGTTGGTCGGGACAGGAATGTCTGTGGTTCCTCCTGGACTTGTTTCCTCCCTGACTTGATGATGGATAAACAGAAGACGATGGATGGAATGGATAGACTTTGACTGGGCCATAAAACTTGAATATGTTTTGATCTAAAACAGCTGTGTCCAAGTTGAGCTCTGAGAGCTACGATCCTGCAACTTTTAGAGTATCTGTTCTCCAACTCTTCAGTTAAATGAATGCCTCATTACCATTATTAAAGGTTTAAGTACCATAAATACAAGGCTCCCTCCATCTACTGTAGATAAAATATCACTCATACTGTGTGGTGAAAAGGAAATAACCCACTTACCTCCAACTCTTTGTCCTCTCTCACTTCTTCCTGGCACAACCGGCTGTTTAAAATCAATAGAGAACTCATCGACTCAGAAGCTGCTGTTCTCTCATTTAAAGACACGGTGGTTCTTCCTCTGTAGTCTGAAGTTCTAACGAGGCTGGACAAATTAGTCTGCTGATTTGCTGGTTCAGGTCTAAACTTAAGCGAGGAAATTAATAAAGAAACGCTGTAACAATATAACAGTTACTTTTTAATGCAAGACTTTAAAATTGTCTTTTTATTTTATGTCTCCAATTTCCTTTTTTTCTTTCTTTTGGACTCCACGCTGCACACTGGAAACCCTGCAGATCCATGGAGGGGCCATAAAAAGAGCAGCTGCTCAACAATTTAAAGGAACCCTTCAGAATAAAATCTCAAAGTTTATTCCAAAACCATTATTTACACCATGACAGCCAAGAAAGAAGCTAAGTGGGAACACGTTGCCCTATGTTAAACTGCATCATGTCGCTGCGACTCGGCCAGAACAAACAAAGTGGAGATAAAATTTCCCCTTGTGCTTCGGCTCATTGTCTTCTTGTTTAACCTTCATCTTTTCATTTTCTCTGTCGCTTCATGCACTCTGCAACTGCAAACAAGGTGCAATCTTTAATACCAAGTAAATATTTTAACAATGCAGTGGATCCCCTTTTTTCTATAGAGCTTGTCTAAATTATTGGAAAGGAGAAGCAGGTTTGCAAGCTGAAATAATTTGGTGCAATGCAAAGTTATTTCATTAATAACTTAGCATGATGTTGGACTGACTGGTACTGCAAACCAGTACCTGTCAGAGAAAGGAGGAGAAAAAGTGAAAAATGTAGATGTTAGCATGTGCTATATATTGCTGTATTTGGTGTGTATCTGTTAAAATACACACCTATGACTGTTTTTAGTGGGGGTCTCGTATTCACTGAAGGCTGTGTTCCCTAATCTCCATGAATGCTCAGTTCACTGTAATAACCAACAATTCTGTAATTTAACTTCACAACACAGAAGCCCTAAACCATTAACCTGGAAAAAAACATACAATGTCGTGTAGAAATTCAAGGATACAGTTCGGTTACCTGGACCTTTGCCCCTTCACCGTCGCCCCCCAGCCTTCTGCCCTCCAGCACTTTACAGAAAGAAATTGAGCTGTTCCTTAAAGATCCTTCAGTCATGTCTGACCTGGCCTGAGTCTTTCATGCCAACTCTCAGGCATCTGACGAACTCTCAGTCCAGTTGCCTCCACGTTTTAACATGCATGCGTCACAGACAAAAGGTCCTACAAGGGATTGGCGGGGTGGGAGAAAATCAATCATACCAATTCCTCTTAAAGTTCAAACTGCTGCTGGTTATCTGGCCATCGATCTGCGACTCCCTCACTCGATTGCATGTGGGAATGTTCTGCAGTGCTCACAACTCGGCTGCTGAATTGCCTCTCAAAGCTTGTTTTCTCTCCTCTGAGCCACACAGAGCACTTACAAGATCAGTAACAAAATCAGCCCCGTTGTGCAACATTGATGCTCTCATCGTTTCTCTTCTGCAAGCTGTGAAATTGAAGGTTTTTCTCTAATGAATTTTATGTCGTTATCGATCAGGAGGAAAATTGGGTTGTGAAACTGGCCAATCATTTTGCACATTGTATCTCAATGTGTACAAATGGTCGTCCTTTGTTGCCCCAAGGCTAATGACAGTTCTCCAACACACACCTCCCCAGACAGACTCCTAACAGCTTGTATGTTTGAAAAAGGTCTGCAACATGAAGGATGACTTTCCCCTCCCTCAAACTGCAGATGAGGCTTGGCTAGGCAACTTAAAGATTTCTCCTGACAAAGAATAATGAGACTATTGATTGTCCTGTGAGATATTTACCAAAGTCCACTTTGAAACCTCCAAGTTCACTGACACCTGGGGAGGAGTTTATTTCTGAACTGACGTCAGGTGATACTGATGAATCCTCTCTGGATCCCCACCTTGACAAACAGCTGCAGACTGAAACCCATCACTCTGACTGATTGAAAATAGGATGACTTGAAAATGAGGAAATGACCAGCACTACAGTTTAACCTTTTTTACAAGCATAGATATTCATTTTATAGACTTGCAAGAAGATTTTTTAAAAGAATCAGATTATTCCTGCAAAAGGACAAAACCTGAAGCAGAACCAAAGTTTATAACTGGCTCCATTCAGATGATAAAAATGATTACATTACAGGCAACGTAAGCAAAACAAAAACCAGGATAACATTAAGTCATTTTAATAAGTGTAAAAGTCATCTGTAGATGAGGATCAGACAGCTGAGGTGCTCCAGAACCCCACCTCCCTGCCCACGGTTAGAGGACTGCGTTTCTTGTTCTGGTTCCCGTGTAAAAACCCGCCTGGCACCAAGCTCTCACCAGCAGGCCCCTCCTCCAGGTCTGGCTCCTAACAGGGACCCCAGTGACACGTTCAGGCGACTGTTTCCATAGATGTTTCTCATCATTAGCTTCTATAAGCTGCATTGGTGTGACCAATGATTTAAAGCCGCTGATAACCTGACAACTCAAACTCCTCTGACACAATAAGCTGGAAGCCCATGGAGATCTGGCTCAGATGATGCCTGTTCATGGTGTTTTTATAGCGGTAAACCAAGATCTACACCAAGAATTATAACCCAAGACCAAGGTTTTTACAGCAAAAATTCAATTTTACTGTAAATTCTATACTAGAATGAAAGATAATTTGTTGTCTTCATTGTCTCAAAGGTTCCCACCTCTGGACGAGCGACTTATTACGTCTCCTACAAGAGAGAAGCTTTCATACAAATCAAACTGCCAAAATACTCCCTGCCTAAGGTACGCTGCAGCATATTCACGTGTTGGAGACTCATTGAAAGTTTTTCATTTCTAAATGTCAGAACAAAACAATCATGCAGTTAATTAAGTTTGTCTGTAAACCTCAAGATTGAATGTTTACACTTTCAAGGTTAGGACTGATGTAAAATGCATGTTTCAGTTTTTTTTTTATTAAAATCAGTTTTCTGTCCTTCCAGAAGTCCTTGTGACTCTCACTGTAGGAGTTACTGTCCAGTACGTCCACAGACATTTACATTCATACCACAGCGCTGATCTCATGACCAATCCCAAAGGGTCAAGATGGACTAATCTGTCATCTCTGTGCCTCCAGTCATAACTTCTCTTAATCTCTCCTGCTGCTTCCTGAAAGGATTTACACATCGTCAGTACTGACGGGAAGCAGGTCTTTGCAGCAGTGCAGGAGTGGAACCAGAACGACACCTACAATCTCTACCTGTCTGACACCAGAGGGATCTTCTTCACCTTGGCCATGGAAAATGTCAAGACAACCAGAGGCATCGCTGGGAACCAGATGCTGGACCTGTATGAGGTACCAGTGTTTGAATTATTCATGAATGAAGTTTATGGGGTTTTGGTCAATGTTAGTCTCTCTGAATGTGACATCAAGCTAAAAGAGGGTCTTTAATTGTTGATCTGTGCATTAAATTTTTGATTGGGTGAGATTGGCAGAGAGAACTGTGCTTAAAGATTGTCATGTAAATCAAATCCCATTGTTGAATTCAATACTCTCCCAAACTGTAAAAAGCAGCAGTTGAGATGCTCCTTTTTCAGTGAGTTTTTGTTAATTGTATTTTTTATTAAAAGCAACAAGTTAATATCCCCACTGGGCCACAGGACGAATCCTTTAATGCATAAATGGAGATAATCTTGTAATCCCATAATTTCCTATTGGAATCCTCTGTCAAAACAACTTCACAACATATTTTTGCAAATGTTCAAATTTTGTTTTGTTCAGTTGTTGGAATAAAAGTTGTTGTCAGGTGAGTTTAAATGTACCACAGAAAACCCAAATCACCAGGAAACAGTGGTTACCTGGTGGTCTGGCAACCAAATCAGTCCTAACCTGACCTGCAGACCAAACTGTGGAAAACTGGAGAAATGTTCTCAGCTACTTAGATTATTTTTGATGGTTTTCCTTTTTTGCTACATGGAGCCATTCAGAGTTAACTGATCAGGTGTAACATCATAACCGTCATGGACTCGCTGACTGGTCTGCAGCTTGTCAGCCAACACACGTGATGCAGTGCCTTCAGCAGAGGTTCAGTAACTAGCTCTCTGCCGTTCCTTCCTTTTGAAACAAACCGAACGGCAGATTGAGAACACCGACTCCAATCTGCACCCCGCACATTTTTCTGCTTGAATTCATCAACTTTAAGGACACAATATGGGACCTCAGTTAAAGCTAAAAATAAAAATAACACCTGTTATTCACTGTAAGTTTGTAAAATGTTACGACCGATCAGTTTGTCTTCATAGAGTAAAAGACAGTTTTCTCTTTGACCTGCTATAACTTTAGCTTTTCAGGTATTTGGTTAATGTTTGGGATTAAAAGGTCCAGGATACAAAAGTAATGGTATTTTCATTAAAAACAACATTTTCTATGTGTATAAAGTTTTTCTTTAGCAAAATGGGTTACAAACTATGAGCAGAAAACAAGAACATGGCGGTCCCAAACAGAATTACTGAATGTTTTGTGATTATTTGTAATGAAGGTGCAGACAGAGCTCTGGAAGCCAGGATGAAGTGTGACATCCACAGATTTACCTTAGAGTTTGTTTTAGTTGACTTGTTGAATGTGGACAGGTTTGCATAACGGGCTGCACTCGTCCATCTTCCTGACAGCAGACACACACAGCATAGAGAATGTGGCTCAGTGCTGTGAAGCTGCAGACTGGACCTTGTTAGCTCGCTGCCTTCATACTGTATGTGTTTGCATTCATAGCAGGAGAGTTCACTTCCATCCCTTTGCGCTCCTCTGTGAACCCAGTTTATCACTCCAACACTGGCAGGTGTGATGGAGGGAATGGAGGAAGGAAGTGAGATACTGGGCAGCTGCAGTGGCAGCGGGGCGGTAATTAACAATGCCATTACTTCTCCTGCCCAGGCTGTGGATATGTGCGCTGATTGTGAGTGCAGCTCCCCTTTCCATGCGACACCGTTTCACTTCTGCGGTGGGAGACGGCGCTCAATGCAGCTTTAAGTAGATGCATGCAAATAGCTGAGAACCGCCTGGAAGCACCTGTGCTGTTATACAAGCCGGTAGATAACTAGAATAAATAAATCAGTTGGAAGAAGCATGAAAGAGGAATAAAAGTGACCGGGGAAGGCCCCGCCCACCGAGCCCAACAGCTTTGGATGAATTGTACCGTACGTTATACGCTGACACCTGGTGGGTTTGGAATAAACCTGCTGGAACATCTTTCAGCCCATTTTCCCACCGTCGGCTCTAATAACGTGTGTGTGCAGAGACTGTTGGAAAACCAGCCATTCTTCTGAAAGTCATTTTCTGTCTTTGTGTCACAATTTCTCCCAGACTGCCGGACCTCTTTAGGAGGCCAGCTGCCGTCCTGGCTTTTATTTCCAGTGGATGAAATGAACAGAATCCCATCGATCGCCTCGTACCCCCACAACCTCTGAAGAAAAACTGTGGCCCATTAGCTACACTTCACATATCAGTCAGTCAAGACTACATTTATGGAGCTCCCTTCGTTCACAGTGAGGGCAACACAAAGTGCTTCTTTTGTATGATAAAAATAACAAACAGAAAAAAAGTAATGAGGTAAACCAGACGGAGCATAAAAATGTGCAGAAATTTGTCGTCAAGAGGAGAAGTTTGTTTGAAGGACTGAGGAAATTGAACTGTGCAGATGAGGTGGCAGTAAAACAAAATGCTGCCTGTCGGCCATCTGCAGTCCATGTAGCTGAAAATGTGGCAGGCCAGCACAATTAGTTGATTTTTATAACAAATGATATAAAGGTCTACTAAACATCTTGTAAATTGTTCTGCTCAGGCAGCAGCATGGTGCAGCAGCTCTGCTTTTTATTTTCTAGACTTTTTATTCCTTTTTTTGAGCTGTTGCATGTTTGGACAATTATTCTCTGATTCTGGATGCTGCACAGCTGGAAGGATTTTTGCTCTTTATTTTTCTCTTTTGCTTTTGGACAGTTATGATGTGTAACCACGGCAACAAGATTTTATTTTTATAATTGTGAGCACCTGATTAGCATCTCAAAAGCTCAAATGACTCCTGAACTATGACCCTGACTCCCAAAGAGAGGAAGAGGAAGTTCAGTCTATCTCTTCCATCCATCCTGATTTTCAAGGATCGTATTGTTTACTCAAACATTTCCCTTCCCGGGTTTCTAACCGTACAGCCACACAAATTTAAAGAGGAATTGCAAAAGCAAAGGAGGTGGGCTAGCAGTTCTTTCAACAACTGATAGTATCATTCAAGACAAAGTACTGTGGAATATTGTCTCTGCTGCCTGGACATTAAGTTGTTTGCATGTCGTGATGTAGAAAATGTACAACACAAAGTTTCCATAAGTCCATAAACACGGTTTTGCTTTCTTTTCCATTTCACAGAAAATCAAACTATCAGCATCCAGTGAATTTTTGTTAAGATTAGAGTAGTTTACTCATTTCATTTAAATAGTGTGTTCATTTTCATGCAGATAAAACTGAATCGTTGCACAATAAAGCTTATTTTTTGTGGCCCATAAGTGCTTTTACTTTGTCAGTCCAGATGGTAAGTTGTTTGGACTGCAGGATGAGACAGAAATGGGCTTCACTGTATTTGCAGCCTTGCTGCGTCTCCAGTTCTGATCTTATCCTAAACAGAGATGCTGCCTGTGATGAATGGATCAGTTAAACAAGGCAGAACATTTTCATGCAGCCAGGACTCGTGTCGTTGGTAAGAGAGCTCCATCTTGTGCTTCCTCACTAAGACACTCGCTGATTTTCTCCCACAGAAGAAAACGTTAAAGTTTTCTAACCCCACGCTGAAAACTGCACAATTACCTCCTCAATTAGTGGAATGATTTTATTGTTAGTCAGACTTCATAGGAGCAGTTTGTGTAATGACAGGCCGTTTGTTGGAGAACTGCTGTCATTTTTCTATGCGAACTCATTAAACTTCCTGCTTTAGCAGGAGGCTCCTGGTTGTCAGGGACTCGGTGCATCAACAGTCATTTATCTTTTCACTCTCTGCTTTTGACTTTGCCATTACCAGCCCCAGGTGATCAATCGAAGACACGGGTAACATGTCTGTGTAAATAATGACATGCTGATCCTGGCCCTGTTCAGCTCCTCCTGTCTGCGAAGTTAAACTCATGAAGGCGTTAAAACTTTAAATGAGTCATAAAATATATAACTTAGTTGTCTCACTTTAGATAATCGGTGATCCCCGGCTGTTCACCAACGACTCTGTGCCTCTAATGAAATGCATTCTCATAAGATCAGTGGCAGCGTTATGATCTGCAGACGATACAGTGAACGCATTTATTGAATTCAGTGAGAAGCTGCTCTCCAATGCAGCAACAACAGGAAGATAAATGAGGAGGCTGTCAGGCCGTTTTAAAGCAAAAGGAGAAACCCAGACAGGCTCTGTCCCTCTGAATATCAACTGCTGCTGATCGCATTATGAAAACTGTAGATAACTGTTATTGGGAAAGAACGCTGGAAGTGATTTGGCTTTTACCACTTATCTACAGCGCTGTTGTGTTAGTTTGAAATTCAGTTCAGTTCAAAAGTATAGTATCTATCCCAAAGGGAAATTAAATGTCTAACCTTTAGTTTCCAAGTGTCTTTACACGGTTGGTATGGATGGCAATGCTGTGAGCAGGGAGGATCTCCAGAAGCAGTCAGTGTTACATCTGATCTGAAGATCCCTCTGACTGAAGACTGTTGCTCTATGACAGTCTGCAGAGGTGATTTTCCACAGAACCACGTCCTGCATGACGGTCAGACATGACCATATCACTCCCATCCTCCACTCTTGTACTGTGTAAGTACTGAGATCAGAACATGTACATTCATATTAAAATATTACATCATCAGGAGCACCTAAATATAAAGTAATGTTGAAATTCTTTTGTATTTTAAGGACCAAAATGAAAATAATTTATATAAATAACTTAATGAGGCAAAATGTGTTCGTTTTTTTTTATCAGTGTATTTTCATATAAAACTTATGAAACTTGAAAAAACTGCAGGTGTGTATCTGTGCATGTTGAATTTTGGTTAAATCCATCCGTTTCTTCACTCAGTGAAGTTACTCACATCCAGGAATTTTACTCAACTATGGGGAGCGATACTGCATAATAAAATTACTCAAGCTGTAAAAGTACAGCATAGTAAAACTATTCCTAAAAGTATTATTTTTCCAAAAAGTTACTCAAATAAATGTAATTGAGTAAATGCTGCTAATTACTTAGCTACTCTGCTGCTGTGTGTGGAGTTTGGTGTTAATCTGTCACCTGGAGGCCACATGAAAGATTGGATGAATAAATTGATACATAAAGGCTTATAGGTTGGTAAGAAGGTGATCTGAAACCATTTAGTATTCTACAATCAGGAAAACCAAACAGAAAAACTGCCATTAGTTTTTATTTCTGACTGATGCTTTGCATTGCAGCAGACGTTATTAAAAACCACCTGGTAGAGTTCATCTTTGCTTTCATGCTGCAGCTTCGTTTTTGTTCTGTCTGCACGCACATACACTCGCGCTTCAGAGTAATCTGTGGAGCCGAAACTTCTGCTGGCATCCTTCGCTGTGTTGCACAAAAAGTCATGTAGGTGTAAATGATGGATGGAGGGAGAGCCATGCTAGTGGACGTGCATGATCCTCAAGTGTGTGTGTGAGAAGGAGAGAAAGAGCGAGTAGGTGGAGGCAATAAATAATAACTGCAGCGATTGACATGTCTGGTTGGATCAGGATGGGGGGACCCTCATTAGCTGCATCCATCTTGAGCGCCATGTATCTCTGACAATGTCAAATGTGCAGCCTATTAGTGCCACTTATAAAGATGTGCCCCTGCAGGGAGGGAAGCACATCCAAGAGGAGCCCCTCACTATGGCAACCACTCGGAGGGGCCGCGTCCTTTCCATCACATAACTCGCTTTGCTTTGCTTCGTCTATTACCTGAAACAGAGACTTTGATGATGGAGGTGACTGCTTGGGATGTTTCCGTCTGTTTATGGTGTCGGAACATAAAACTGGTGTTGGTCCGGCAGCTTTTCAGGAGAGAAAACTCCTTGAGCTGGAGGGTTCAGATGGCCTTCTGAAGGTCTGAGTTTTATTCTTGTGATTCAGTCTTCCTGAGGGAAAACAGACGAGATGTCTGTTATCCTGCCTGTATTGTTGAGACACATAAGGATATAATTACAGATAGCACTTAGAGCTACCTGCAACCGTCTCTGCAGACAATTGTCGACAACAGAAGGAGACGATAAGCATTCCATTTGCATTTAGCCGGAGCGGTGAAGATTGCTGCCGCAGCACCGAATGCCTTCTAAGATGGGAGTGTTGGAGCCTCTCCCTCATCACAGGCAACCTCTCTGTCAGGGGATTGTTGTGAGCCTTAGATGTAAAAAAGTAATTTCTGTTTTGCATTTGAAACGTGAAAAAGAATGAAGTGTTTTGTGTCTGTGTCCATTAGGTGGCTGGAATCAAAGGAATGCTAATCGCAAACAAGAAGCAGGACAACCAGGTGAAGACCTACATCACCTACAACAAAGGCCGGGACTGGAGGCTCCTTCAGGCGCCGACTGCAGACCTGGATGGAAACAACATCCACTGCATCCTGGTAAAACACCGGGCCGGATATTTCCTGGAGCTCAAACCATCATTCTGCTCATATTCACACTGATGTGGAGAGGATATGCCAGGTGGACCACTGCCAGGCATAATTAGAAATAATGATTTATAGTTTACAGCTTCACTTCATTGTAAGGCATTCAAATAATAAGCCATTAGTTGTAATTAAGTTACAACTAGGCTGATTTTTATTCAATCTCACAATGTGTTTGGCATCAGAATGGAGTTCATATGTGTTTGTACACATTTAGTGCTGAAGGGCTCACCTGAGGGGAACCGGCTGTGGGAGCAACCTGCAGCAATCTGCCGTAAACTGGAAAACAGAGCAGAGCTTTGTTTCACAACAACTTATCGTAGAAAATGTTCTGCAAACTCACTGCACTTCTCATTTTATTTTCAGTCTCACAAACATTCTGTAATAATCTATCTGTACAAAAAGTAACAAATCATTTTGTTACTTTCTTTTCTTTATGGTAACAATCGTTTTGTGCCAGAGTGAAGCAGCCACCCTGGCTGACTGGAAACACATTCTGGTAAGGACTGGGATCCTGTCCCACAGCACCAAGCTGGTGGCCATGATGAAGAGGAGGAGCCAGGCTGTGGTGGCTGTGTGGAGGCTATGTGCATAAAGTTTACCAAAACACAGACAACAACCTGAACGAACATGAACATTTCACAGAATTTCATGATGAAACAGAAAACCTTCAGAACCGAAGCAGAACCTGGCAGAGAGAAGTGGAAGACGGTGAAAACCAGAGAGCTTAAATCATTCAGGTATCTGGCCAAGGAGCCAAGGAGCCAGATACCTGAATGAGGTAAAACCAGTAGAACATAAATGAATAAGAAGGAAACGATCAGAACACAAAACGTAATTCCATGTAATGCCGTTGCGACCGAGCACCGGACGGACATGGGGACGTCTCTGTGATGCTTGAAGATCCTCATTCAAATTCAAACGGTACGTAAAAATCTGATGCAACATCAGGAGGTTCCAGAGTTCAGCTGGTCCAACATTTTCCATTAACTCCCTCTGTGGTTCAAACGTAATGCGCTGGCCCACACCTGACCCTGACGGGCTGGATTTAAAACCCTGCTGGACCTCTGTCACAGCTGGGAATGGAGCCTCTTAGGGACGTGTACAGAGCAGTTTGCTGGGTGACCAGGTCCAGAATGAGGTTGGCTTGGGAATACAGCAGAGCCACCTTCATTGTGAAAGCAATCCATCATCAGAAGTTGAGAGACGAAAGTTGTTTGAGGGCAAACCCTTCTGGGTCACTCCATAAGCCCTTGGTGAGACGAATGGAGGGCAGGAGGCCGGTGACCTCACCCTCCTGTGTGAGAACGACCCTGACCGCCAGCCGGAGGCAGCAGCTGATGTTTCTGCAGATCCTGTTAAGGAATTAAACTCTAAACTTCCCCAGATGTCGGATGATGATACGCTTGCTGCTCCATGCGGGTTTTCAGTGACCCGTTCACCATCTCATCTGGACAGTCGGTGTGTGAAAAGGACAGGATTGTTTCTCTGAACGGTCAGGAAAGGCAGGACAGGACTGGGTGTTAAACAGGTGGATGAAGTAAAGCTTTGTGATGTTTTAGATTCTGGATGCAGAATATTTCTGGTTACCAACAAGAAGGCAGGAGAGGCAAAGCATTTAGGTGGATATTAAAAGTTGTATGACAGTCAGACGTCATCATAGATTGAGGCAGATAGATTTACAGTATGCAAACATGAACAGAACCCGGTCAGTTCCTCCTGGAGGCTTTCATCATTTCAGTGATGGAGAATCAGAATCTCGAGCCAAAGATTGATTTTCAACTTGCTCTCCACTTTCTGAGCAGAACAGGAACTTACTGAAAGTTGATTGAATGAAAACTTTTAATCTTGGTTATTGTAAAAAAAACTTGCAGATATATTTTGTATCTATGGATGCTTCTGATTCATGCCTTCCTTTAAAGCATGTTATCTAACCTTTGAGATTCAATATAAATAATGGATACAGGTCTTATTGTTCTGCAGCCACCTGGGCAGTCAGTCGGTCGGCCAGCGTAGTTTACTAATGTCGTCTAGAGTCACGTTACCAACCTGGTTAATAATCGACCCTGCAGACCTACTGCATGTTCTCACCACTGAAACAGGAAAGTCCTGTTGATTTTACACCGACTGATTGGATGAGGTTTGTCTACAGTGGGTCATCAACAGGACAACGGTCCTAAATACAGCAGCAACTCTGCAACAGAACGAACGGAATAAAGTCTGTGTTTTAGTGGCCTAGTCAAAGTTTGAGGTCAATCAAAGATATAGATCTTCCATTTGGTTCAGAGTCCTTCAGACCTGAACATCTGCTGGATGAGAGATCTACCTGTCGTTTCTCTAAGGCAGCGGCTTGCAGCAGAAGCTGCTGTCAGATTCTGGTATTCAGGATGTTGATCTACCTCATGACCGCAGTTTGTGGCTAAAACCAAGACAGAGCGGTTAATTACGATGTTTTAGTTCAGTCCAGCTCTCTGCTCACCACAACAGACGGGAACAACATCCTCATTACCGCAGACAAAGCCCCGATCCATTCATCCATCTTCTGCTCCATCCAGCCATTACTCTTGAGCAAGACTAAGCAAGACATGAAGATCCTTGAAGCAATGACTAATCCTGACCTGACAAAGAGAAAGTATTTCACCTTTTTCCAGAGGAGAACCATGGCCTCAGACTTTCTTTCTAAAAAAGGAACCCGTCTCATAAAGATAACCGGCAGACTGCAACACATCTTCCCTTCAGCTCAGCAGTGTTCCTTTTAGAAGACACTCGGCAGCAGCGGGGAAAACATCCGACTCCAGTCCCCGTCGGGCGGGCGTCTGCCTCGACCTGCTGGGGCGAGAGCCGACCGAGAGAGGCAACATTAGCAGATCAGAAAATGAGGTAGAACCGGTGCCAGAGTGACGGATCCAGATCGACTGCATGTGTTAACATTCTGTCCTCATTAGACAGCCTCCCCACTACTGAAGCTAACAGGCCGACTGTTGGAAGGAATCATGTTTTGAGACATTAGTAGGACTCCATGCTGCTTAAGAGGTGATTTCAGGCCCGGGCTGCGTGGCTTCCAGGTTCCCTGTGATTGCACATTCATGTGACATTTTAATTACTGCCATAGATTCCTTTTGATTGCCCTGTTCAGTCCCACTGCTTTGATGTCCTCACACCAGTGACATGCTGTCTGCTGCTAAGATGAAAGCAGACATTGTTTTTCTGCACTGTGAGCATTTGTAATTGTATTCTGTTGTGTGGATGCCTCTGAGGCATGCCTTCATACTTTAATGCAAATTTCTTCTCTCTTTGTATTAATGACAGATTAAAGGCAATTAGCAAAACTTGTTAAAGCGCAGTTTGTTCTCTTTGAAGACTAACAAATCTTTTTGCTGGTTTTGTTATTTTAATGCTTTCTAGATAAAAAAAAAAACGTCTGCGTTTTATTTATTTAAATAATTTGACGTGATATGATAATTATGCACTCACTGGCCTTTTTATTAGGCACAGTGTGCTGGTGTCAGGTTGGGCCTTCAGAACCGCCTTCATTCTTCAAAAGGGTCTTGGACAAATTGTTTTGGGATTTTGGTCAATAAACCACAAAAATGCAAAGGTTAAACTTTACTACATTTAGGCCCCTAAATGTAATTAGTTCCCTGCTTGTTTAGTTAGTTTGTTAGGAATTTATTCATTTAATTAAAAACAAAAGAAAATAGAATACAATAACACAAAGAACACAATAGAAAAGATATATAAATCCATAAAATGAAGGGCAGCAGAAAGAAGAAAAAATCTTATAATATCTTCCCCTTTTATCCTAAAGACACATTCAGACAATATGGATTTATAAAAAAAAAAAAAAAAACTTCAACTGAAAACAGTTCGTATGGATTCACATTATTCTATTTCATATTTCTTCAAATTGTCATTTATTGATTCACATTGTGTTTTTTGAGCTCCGTCATAAAATGCGTTTTTCCAATCTTCTTCAGCCATCTTGTTCCCTTCATCTCCAACTGCAAACGTCAGAGAACCCGTACGTGTCGGGAACGATCTCCACCAAGAGCTCTGCTCCGGGGATCATCGTTGCCACAGGTGAGACTTTAACTTATTATCCTGACCATGTCTCAGTTTAATATCTACTTTTTCTTACACTGCAGCTTCTGGACTTCTGCCACAGTCATAGTGTTCAGGATCGTCTCCCTGATTGATGACATTTAAAGTCATATTGGATAATTCAGAACTTTGGTTTTGTGAGATAAAAAACAACAGTTAAGTAGGTGTTAAACATTCTTTTCATTAAGCAAACATTTCATTCAGTTCTATTCAAAATATTGTATCTCAAAGGGAAATGAAGTGTAGCATGTCATCCAGGTATCTTCTGGATGGTGATGCGTTGAACTTGAACGTAGCAGTCAGTCCTCCTGCAGCTGCAGAGGCCTCTGACTGAAGAGTGTTGCTGTATGCTAACAGGCTCATTACTGTAATGACATGATGACAGTTTAAGTTCCTGGCAGTAGAGACAGACGACATCCCACAGTGACATGTCCTGGATGACACCATCAGTTGTTTTGAAGCTCTGCTAATCCAGTTCATTTGCTTTTGCCGCTGCTCTTTAAATCTCTGTCTGGTTGAATGGCTAGAAAGACGAACAGAGTCTTTCTAGCTGGAGTCGGGATAAACATAGTTTGAACTTCGTCCCACTCTCTCTGCTCGTTGGTCCTGCTCTGCATCCATGATGTCTCCTCTTAACTGGGATTAAGCGTTGTAGTTTAGGTGTGATTTAAGATGCTAATCAGCTGCTGTTGGCTGTAAATCACCTCGTTGCCACAGTTACACGTCATAAAAACCATCCAAAAGAAAAGTAATAGCACACATTCGTCCGGCTGCACAGATCCAGAACCAAGCAGCAACAAAACTCTAAACTTACAACAAATCAGAAATGACATGGCAGAAATGCTCCACCATGCAGTTCTGCTAAAGAATTTCTATATTTAATCTTAATTTTATTGGTCTGATGTAATATTCTAAATGTTTTTAAAGAGAATCATGAATAACAGAACAAATCCTCAACGTCAGTCTGTGTGTAATAAATCTATAAAATGTGTTCCATCTAGAGAATACTGTAACAAAACCGTTTCTTCTGATTTATTTCATTTAATGGGTCTGTAAGATTATCAAGCTACATGATCACGAAGCAATTCTGTTCGTTTTCTGATTTGTCTGCAAAGGCAAAAGAAAAGTGACGGTAAATAGATTTTTTAGCAGGACTTGCCTTTTTAAGGAGGGTGAGCACATTTCTGATTTAGTGTGTTTTTCTCTTATGTGTGTAAAAATGCTGACTAATCGTTCACCTCTGCTGCCTGGACGGCTCAGTGTGCGCTGACGCGTGTGTTCGTCTCGCTGGCCGAGACTTTGCTTTGGCACGGCAGCTCACTTTACCCGCTGCGCCTTTTAAGCCATCAGCTGGTGCAGAGATTATTTTACCAACATGACAAACAGCATCCAGATCAAACACATGTCTACGCACTGAGCCCCGGCCAAGACAGCGCAGCAGATCAACACAATAAAACCAGTTTGCCCACTTCAGGCGCACCAGAAACGGCACTGGAGGCTTGAATTGTAAGCCTGCAACGTTGCCACAAGGAGAGCAGGCTCCTCCGAATGCATTCCAGGGGGTTAGGAGAGATCCTGGGGAGTGTTTAAGAAATATTCAGCTTTCTTGGAACATAAATCCTAAACATCACCTGGTTTGTGCAGCATTTTATCTGTGATCCCATTGTGATTTGATTGTCATATTCTCATTTCCACTGCAGGAAATATTGGAGCAGAGCTGTCTTACAACAACGTTGGCATGTTTGTATCATCGGATGCAGGGAACAACTGGAGACCGGTGAGAAGAACCGTAACGTTTCCCCCAGCAGCTCACTGAGCTGGAAACCAGTATGAAACTGTGGCAGTTTGTCACTCTGCAGAAATCTGTAACCAAGTTCCCCTTTGAACATTACAGCATGGATTTAATATCTAAAAGAAGAAAGAACTAACTAATATTTAACGATCGATTTAATTAGAAAAGCAAAACCTCCAGTAATATGATTTTTGGATGCAGATGTCTCATCAAACTACTTTTTACATTTTGTTCCTCAGACATGAAAACCCTGTTCATGTGTTAATACTGGTTCTACAAAACTTTTGTTTTCTTTAGAAGTAAAATGTCAAAAAATGGAAACACATTTCTTTATATCAAAAATTCTAAGTTGTCTTTTTCCAGAAGTTAAATATCGAGTTGCAGCTGCAAACGGGTTTAATTTGTGGACTGAAGGAAAGAGGCTGTTTGGCTGCAGAAGCTCATCATTACCTGCTTGGCTTGTTTTTTATACATTGATGAGCAGGAAGGTAACATTAAGTGAAATTTCTTTTGTCAACTTCTACATGAACTGTAAAGTTGGTAGTTTTGGTTATTTATCAAATAATTTTAAAAATGATCCTGATTGGTTCTTTTTAACAGGATCAAAGTAAATCCTGTTCTGATGCACTTTGGAAACGGTTTGTGAAGATTTATAAGAAATGTTTCCATATTTAAATCCATCTGCCTAATGTGTGTTAAAACACTGAAGACTGTTGTGGTATATCATTTTCTATCTTGTAACACTTAAAATAGATTTTTTTTACTTAACTAGTAAAGTCAAAGTTTTTCCTTGCAAATGTTTTTTTTTTTTTTTTAATTTAGAAACTTTTTGACTTTGGTCAAAATAAACAACATGTTTTTGGAGCCACACCAGCAACATTACTCTTCTTAACAAAACAGTTTGTTTTGTAATTAGTTTAGATTTTCTAACTGAAGAACAATTTAACTTTTATATTTATGCTTAGAACATTTTCTTCAGTGGGACATTAAAAAAATAAACTTGCAACATACTGACAAAAAAACAAGTTTTTTAAATAAATATGCCTTACATTATCAGTCCCATCATTTGTGGAAATGTTAAGAGTATGTTCTATTAAAATACTTGGTAAAAACTTCTAGTGTTTTTTAAATTACCTTCGTATTTTAAAAACTGTTTACAGGGATGATCAGTGCAAACAGTTCAGTTTTGACCTTTATGTCAAAGGCTGTGAATTCTTCTACAAATTGGATTTTTTTTTGTTTCCTATTTTTAACAAATGTGCGAAACATTAAAAAAAATCCACACTGTTGTGTTTGTGTGTAGAGTTTTGAGGAAAGAGATTAATTTCCTTAAATTTAGTTCTGGCTGGAACATGCGGAACAAAATGTGGAAAAAGTGAAGTGCTGAGAAAACCTTCTTGGTGTAAATAAGTAAATTTATGATGTTTTTACCTTTTTATTCCTTCCTGTTTGTCTTTGCAGATTTTTGAAGAAGAGCACAATATCTGGTTTCTGGATAAAGGAGGCGCCCTCGTTGCGGTCAAGCAGCCGTCTGTGCCAACTAAACATCTCTGGTAACAAACTTTGTTGCACAAGGTTCTTTTTTTAAATTGCTTTCCTGCTGTTAATGGTCATCCCAATTTTAAATGAAGCTTTTTACAGTCCTAAGAAAGAGCATGCATGTTGCACTTGATTCATTTACGGTTGCACTTTGTGCACAGTCAGATGCGTAGGGTTCCAGCCAATCTAACTTGAAAGATGTGAATTTTTCCCCCCAAGCCAATTATCATTAGGAGTCAGACGTCTGACCCCCTCTTAGGGTTTTCATTAACACGATGCCTTCCTCTTGCCAAATCGAAAACATATGCCGTGCCTCAGTGCAGGCTAATCCAAGTGAGACCAGATCCGTTCTCCACTTGCTTTTGCACCAATTTTGAAATTAGTTTTAGAACCAGTGAAGTGTGGCCAGCTGGGTTTTTGTCTCCCTCCCAATTTAAGTGGGATGATGCAGGGAAAAAACCTGAGTGTTATGAAAAGGCCTGTGTTTCCATGGAGTGGTATGTCTTTCACAGCCAGTGTGCAGTTTAACACTTCCTCTGGCTCAGTCCGACAACAGGTGCACATCAGTGCTTTGCTGTTGTCACTGCTTTTAGCCAAGTGACAGCAGGAGGCTTTCTGAGGCAACATGGGGGGATTTTCTTTTTTTTTCACTCCATGTCACACTCGGGTACTTCCAGTTGTTCTCACCTCAGCACCGATGTTGATAAGCTGTCAGAATCAATAAAGCCCAGGAGCCGATGATGAAAGTTGTCCAATTTTTTCGCTGTCTCATTCTCCCCATGCACTCTTGTGCTCAGACATGAAACACTTCTATTCCGGTTTTGTTTTCTCACCTCGGTGTCAACTTTTTACCCGGGACAAGACATGGTTTCATTTTCCTTTTTGACACCCCAAACTTTCTCTTTTCATGTTCTCTGAAGACGTTTTCTGCTTCTTTGCTTTGATACTCGGACTGACGTTCTCCTAAATATCCCTTTAATGCTCAGCCGTTTGATATTTACCCAAAGCTACAGTAGCTAATTGCACCGAGGCTCTGAGACGGCTCTGTTGAGACAAGCCAGTCATTCTGATCCGCACCTAAACCCTCCCCTATGACCAGAATTAAATAGGGAGCGTCTGTTTTCCGCGCCGCCGCTGATGCCGGGTTTGTGACGGGAATGCGATCTGACACAGGGTCAGCTTTGATGAAGGGAGGCAGTGGACCCAGCACAGCTTCTCCTCGGCGCTGCTGTTTGTGGACGGAGTGTTGGTGGAGGCCGGCGCAGACAACCAGATCATGACGTGAGTCCAACAACACTCAAATCATCCAAATGTATTTTAAAACACATCATTGTTTCGTTCTAGGGTATTTTATGGACCGTTTAGATGTCGTGTTTGGCGGTCATCTAAAATATATTAAAAAAGAAAATGATTTTTCTGGAGGTAGTGGTTTTTATTTGCAGTAGTTAGACAGGAAAAGGGCAGAGAGAGAAAAGATGAAGACATGCAGCAAAGGTCACAAGGTCAGGAATCAAACGGCAGACTGCTGCATTGAGAGCTTTTATTTTTCATTGATATTTTTGTATTTCATATTTTATTTGATCTTGTTGAATCATTTATTTGGGGAATTTTCACCAGGACTCTGTCACTGCTCTTAGTAAAGTGTGTTGGAGGTTTTTAAAAGTTGCTGTACTGTGGAGCCTAGAAAGCAACTTTCACTAAAGAATCACTGCAGGTTGCTGATGGTGAGCTGAAGGCTCTGGTCTGTTGCTCTGAGTGTAGAAGTTCACTGTAAGTACTGGAATGTACCAGTTCCTGAAAATGCCTCGTATGTCCAGCATACGTTCCACCACAGTTTCCTGTAAATCCAGAAACTGAAGCATGCATTTCATGAAGGAACTGGCTGCAACCTGCTTTTCTGTCCTGTTTAAATTCACGGATCACGTACAGAAAATGTCCTGCTGATTTGGTTTGTTGCTTAGATTTAACATTGAAGTCCATCCATTTTGCTTTTGCAGCTTCTTTGGACACTTCAGCCACCGCTCTGAGTGGCAGCTCATCAAGATAGACTACAAGTCCATCTTCAGCAGGAAGTGCACTGAGGAAGACTACCAAACCTGGCACCTGCACAACAAGGTGAAGCTCATACTGACCAGCCTGCAGGCCTTGATGTGAAATGTTTCACTGACAGCTCTGTTGTCGACACAGGGCGAGCCGTGTGTAATGGGTCAGAAGCAGATTTACATGAAACGCCGGCCTGGAAACTACTGCATGCTGGGAAGGGACTACTCCAGAATCCTCTCAGCTGAATCCTGTATTTGCCGAGCTCATGATTTTGAATGGTAAGGAGACGCACGCCTTTGTTCAGTGGCTCCTTTCCTCATAATCGTGGAGGAGGATTATGTTGCTCTCCATTGTCTGCTGAGGAGAGCTTCATTAACAGGGGTATTTGTTCTCCAATGCCGCCACACATGTAGAAGTTTCAAACAGGCATTTTTCTTTTTCTTATTAATCCTTTCAGGAATTTTCCTCTGCTAATTCTTGAATTATTCTCAGTGGGTGCTGTCAGATGTGATTGAAGCTCAGCAGGTCAGTCATTGGGATACTGTGCTCAGTGAAAACATGAAAACATATCTGTCCTATTAAAAAGCAGCTGCCCTTCTGTGCCAATTTATTATTTTTCAAGTACATCTGTGCAACAACCATTAAATTCCCTCTTCAGTCCACTCAGATTTGCTCTTTAGGGCGGATCTGAGTCCAGCAGGCTGACAAGCAGCAGCAGTAAACAGCCAAATAAATTGTGCAGATTGGAAAAAAATGGTTGATTTGACCTGCAGTCGGACTTTCTGTGTTCTTCTGCACGCACTCGTCTCCTAATGATTTTTTAATACCTGCCTGTATGAGTGAACCCAGCAAGCGGATACAGGTTTTGTTAGGAGAAAGTTACCGTAATTGATGTTTGCTGTAGTGGAAAATACAGTGACAGCAGCACAGGCAGAATGACGAGCAGAGATGCTACAGCCAGTCTGAAGAACGGAAACTGTAAAATGAAAAAAGCAGAGGAAGCAGCCTAAAGCAGAGTGAACACTGGCAGTTTTTACTTTTTAATTTAGGCTTTTATTTGACATCTGTTCAAACTTCTGATTACTTTTAGAAACATCTGATAAAACCAATTAAAAAGCTCATGTACCTCGGTTAAAACGTTTTTATAATAAAGACATGATTTAATCTTTTATGTAGCTTATTTCAAATATTATTCAGCTTACAAACTGTTCACACATAAATAAATATTTTTCTGGTATTTTTGCTGCAGGTCAGTTATAGAGAATCTGATCCATCGCGAATAACATCCAACTGACCTAAGAGGAGTTTCCAGACATCTTCAGTTCACATTCTGTAACCTGTTGTTGTTTGCAGGAAGACTAGAATTAATTATTTTATATACTCAGATGTAAACATGGATTTTAGTTTTTCATGGCTGTTTGCGGCCCCCGACTGCCATGACTACCGGGGATCCACTGGGTTCCCATGACTACCGGGGATCCACTGGGTTCCCATGACTACCGGGATCCACTGGGTTTCCCTCCTTGCATCAGGTTGTACTGATTTGTCCATTTTTTCTCCTGAAAAGTTGTTTCTAAACGTGCCATGCATTTAATACTTTCTTGGTGGCTTTCAGGTATGGGCACCACTGCTCTACTGTGAATCCCAGAATCTCCATTTTTCCAATAATTTGCTTAAATTTTCGTTTTTTTGTGAGCACTTACTCGGTTGTGATGTAGTTTTACCTGACCATCATCATGTGACTCTAGCAATATTACTGCATGGATGTTTGTCTTTGGTTCAGTTTATTGTGCTTTCTGAGGTTCCAGTACATCCAATACACCGCCAGTACGCATCCAGTACACACCCAGTACACACTCAGTACACGCCCAGTACACAGCCAGTACGCATCCACATCCAGTACACGCCCAGTACACACCCAGTACACACCCAGTACACACCCAGTACACCCAGTACACACCCAGTACACACCCAGTACACATGTCCAAACAATCAGACAGATTTTGATAATTTTAGGGGGCAGTTGTTGTCCAGTGATGAAACAAGGTGTTAATAGAAACCTGTCAAATAAAACTCGACACTGAAGCTGCATTGTTTGTGATATTTTCTTGTTGTTTCTTGTTTTCTACCAGACTAGTTTGTAGCATCCTTGTAGCATCTGTTAGCAGCCTGTTGTGCTTAGGATTCTGCTCAGACCATGTGGGCGTGAGAATAGTTTCAATTTGTATGTAAATCCAAACTGGGTGAATTTTTTATCTTGTAATGACAGGGAACAGAAAAAAAGCGGACCGAACATTCAGCAGTTATCTAACTCGTGTTTGTAGAAAAGCACCCAGCGAGTGCTAATTGGTTCATATTTAACACGTTTAAAGTTGCTTTCTCTTTCCAACTCTGGTTTCCTGGTACTTACTTCTTACAGAGGATTTTTCTGCACATGCCTAAAACATCCGTCTCATCCGTTAACTAGGTGTAAACTCGAGGAATCAGGTTTTTACATCTTCTGCTGTTTTCATCCCCATTAGCCTAATGTGCGATAAGTTTACAGGTTTCTGGTTTAACTTTTTTAGCTCCTGCCTCCCAGCAGAGAAGGTGGTAAAAACTCAACCTGCACTTAGATTTAAGGATGAGAAATTAGGCTGTGGAAAAAATCAAACTTTAAATCTTTTGTTCTAAATGTGAAATTAGATATGAATATGAAAAGTAATTCAGTTGTTTAATTTGAGTAATTTAATTTTGTTCTGTATGCTTATCAATATTTTTACAAAACATCATAAATCTCAGGTAGAAATGCCAGAATTGTAATAAATGATATAAAGCTGGTGGAGCAACAGGCAGTCGTCTGATGTCATCAAACTGCTTGAGGAGTTTCTCTCCTCATCATCATAAATCAGGTCAACAAATATGTTGTTGAGCAAATGCTTTAAATTTAAATAGTTTCTTTATCTTCTCCATTGGAAATGCTTTCTGCAGGGCTTTTAATATTTTATCTGAAGAGACAAATTGGAGCCAAACAAGGGAAAATACCAAACTCTGGAAAATCGGTTGACGTTTCTTTATCTAAAACAGCTCAGACTTTACGTCTTCCTTTTAAAGTTTGAAAGGTTTTTTCTCTCGTTGTTCAAGTCGAATAGAATAACGAACGACGTCACAAGCAGGACACTTTCACCCCAACTGTCTCTAGAATCAATGCATTCAAGTCTGGAGCAAATCAAGTAGGCTACAGACAGCTCATACCTACTCTATACAACTCCAGATAAAAACTGAACAATGCCTTTATGTAAAAGGTTCTGCCTCCCCTGACCGGTTCACCCTGCTGTAAACCTAGAATTAAAGTGCAGTGGTCAGCTGCTGTCTTGTTGGTTCTGTTTGTTTTGGCTCAGTAATTACCTGATAAATCAACGTCAGGACCTTGATGAGAACGGACACTCGCCCCCCTGACTTGGCTGCATGTAAATCACAGGCTGAATGAATCTGTGAGGATTAAAAGTCATTATTTCCAGTAACCTCTCTTCCTGCAGGCTGGGTGTCCTGGCATGCTGGACGCCTCAGTGGGGGGTTTTCAGCAGGAGGAGCTTTAATCAATATGTAATAATGATGCAGATGGTGACAGAAAGTGTCCGTTCACACACTCCGGTGCTGATCAGGCGTTGTGGATGTTTTCTCTCGTCTGACAGCGATTATGGATACGAGCGGCGGAACGACGGGAACTGCCGGCCGGCCTTCTGGTTCAATCCGTCCTCTGTGTCCAGAAGCTGCAGCCAGGGTCAGAACTACTTCAACAGCACAGGGTAGGACCTGATTCATGGCACCTGAGTCCACAAACCAACGTCTTTCTGTGGCAGGAAGTGGAAGCTCACAATCTGTTTCCAACTCACTCACACTCCTGCAAATGGTTCTGTAGAAACGTAGGATCATTATGGAGGACAAATCAAACACATTTTCTGTTTTTGTTTTCTCTCTTTGAGGCGCTGATGGAAGATCTTTAGATTTCTTTGTTTACCTCATCTTGTCAATCAACTCTGAGTCCCATTCCTCCAGTGAACCAATCAGCTGCCAATCACAGTTTCCTCTAAAAGGGAAATTAGTGAAGACATCGTCTCTACCTTTTGACTGCTGTAAACATTACAAACTCCACATAGACTCAATAATAATGGAGAAACCAGCACAGCAAGGACGAATTAATACAGCGGTGATGTAAACTGAAGAAGCTGCTGGGAATACGATGATCCAGCAGAGAAGAAACTCTATTTTGGGAAAACCGTCACTGGAGAAATGTTCAAACGAGCAGCAGAGAATTAAATCCATGTTCTAAACAATCATTTGGAAAAGATAATATTGTTATCAAGGTATCTTTTCACAAACAACAAGCCTTTCATGTGTTCACGCTGTACATTTGATGACTTATTTTTTGTAATAATGATTGAAAAACAGATTCAATCTTTCCATATTTTTTAGATGCAACATTTCATTTTCCTTTGGGGCCAATGAAGTATTTTTTATTAACTTTCAATCATCCATTTGTGTAAATAATGTGATATAATGTTTCAGTTGGTGGTAAACACGCCTCGTCACAGTGCTTCCAGCAGGGCGGCGCTGTGGATCTGGCTCCAGCCTGGACCCAGCAGCTGTGATCATTTCCCTCATTGCGATGCGCCGTGTCTCTGTTGTTCCTCAGAAGTTTGTCCTGCGTGTTTCGGAGGCTCCTCAGGGAACGGACACCTTCCCAAGCTTAATCACAGCAGCAGTGTTTTATTCGCTGCCGCACTGATTAAACTTCCTGCCGTGTCACAGCCTCTCACACAGCTTGTCTTGTCAGTTGTCATCTAGTCCCGAACGCTGTTAACACAAAACAGCCACGCTGTGCTGACTTCAACCTTTTTCTGTACACCACCGGCTCACGCAGCAGGAAATGAGTTTAAAACTACAGAAGGCATCAATGTGAAGATGAAAGCTGATCGCCGTGGTCTGAAATGAAGAGTCTCTCTGTTTTCTTCCTAAGGTACCGTAAAGTGGTGCTGAACAACTGTACCAAGGGCGTGAAGGAGATGTACACGGCCAGGAAGCAGCAGTGCCCCAACAGGCCCCCGAAAGGACTCAGCCTGGCCACCAAAGACGGGAAAGTCACCGCCAACATGGGCAGCAACGTCACCTTCGTGGTGCACCTGGACGAGGTGAGAGGTCCAGCAGCAGGACGCCGCACCAGACCATGTCCAGCTCCGACCTGGAGATTTCTAGAAAGGATTTATTGTTTCTAAAAGCAGCAGTTCGGCCACCAGAGGTCAGGGAACAGCAGATCCTGAATACAGACCGTTCATCTTCCCTCCTTATGGAACAATGTGCTAAAGATGACATGACTTAAACTTTATTACATATTTTTCCTCTAACTTGTACATGTTAAGTTTATTTTATGATTAAATAAACATTTTTCATCGCCAATCACTCAGTTTATTTAAAGTTTTTTTATTTGTATTTTACGTCAGCAGCAGGTATAGAAAACCCAAATCAGATTTATGGTCCATCAAATTGTCTTCAGTTTTGCTGTACCTGCTACCAGGTAGTGACAACAATATCTGTAACATTATGTTAAGGTTTAGTGGAAGGATAATACCTGGACTGGCCACCAGTTTGAAATAAAAACAACGTAAGCTGAACATTTTGACCTTACTGATGCAGACGAGGCCTGCAGAGCTTCAGATGTTCTGTGATCTGCTGGTTAAATCAACATTAACTGATGAATGGCCCTAATTTCATTGTTTTTATTTTTATCCTGTCCTTGTTTTAGTTGTAGCTGCAATTATGGATAAAATATTCTACATTTTTCTCTTTTCACATTGAACTAGGCTGCTTTGGATAAGTTTCCCCCAAAAACATGAGATCATTATTTGAAAAGTACATTTTGTATTTTTTTTAACTTGTATTTGGTTTTGGTAAAACCTTCCAGCAGAGGCTGAGACAGAGGTGTGTGATGGAGTCATGCATGCATCGTTCTGTTGGTAGAACCTGGAGGCGCTCGTTCTGGAGCTCCAGTAATGTCTGCTGATTTCTTGGAAAGTTGCTGCTCTCTGCCATGAGCTCGGTCCGTTCCCTGCACATCGCCCACACCAGGCAGCAGCTCTGAGCCACGGGCAGAAATAAAAGACCCCACCAGAGACCCTGTTAGCGAGTGAGAGGTGCTGCGCTCAGTCAGGCAGCCCGGTCACCAGGAAACCGTTTCTACGCCTCTCACTCGCAGCGCACTCAGCTGGTCTGAGCTGCAGGATTTGGGAGTGTTTCCTGTCAACGTTCTCCTGGGAGCAGGTTCTGGTTCTGGTTCTGTATCAGCAGGACGAGTTCAGAGCTGGTTGTCCTTCACTAACAGAGACCTCTGGGAGGTGAACAGGGGAGGGCCGGCAGATGGAGCTTTGTGGCTTCAGACTTATTTGAGAAAATTCTCTTGATGAATTCAAAGTTTTAATTTATATTCATGAACCTGGAGATGGTTGTATTTCTTGGGGAAAGAAAATGGCACTAAATATTTCATGGAAAGAAGACTCTTCAGTTCATTTAAAAATAGAATTAGGAAAAAATCTGAAACATATTTGGGGATTTAATAGGATCTGCACGTCTTCTGCTTTTTGTTTTGTTCCGAACCCTTTTATGCAACACAATATTTACATGCACAGATGGATTCAGATGGATTCAGTTTTTAGAAAGCAGTTGGCAGAGACGAGATGAGTTCATGCCTGAATCTCAGTCGACCGAAGCTCAAACAGTTCCTCCCTCATTCTGCATCCAACACAGAAGGATGGAGAGGCTCACTCTGTCTCCTCTCCGTTTAAATGTTTATGGCTCATCTTAGAGCACAGTTAATTCCTCTATGAGAGCCTCATCGAGAAAAACCTCATAACCAACCCGTTAAATGGGACTCTGGGGAACATTTCTATTCTTTTTTTAATCCAAATCAGTCATTTTGGTTTGAATGGAAGATAAATAGGGGAATTTTATTTTGGATTAATATAAATAACAAAATGTTAATAGTTAAGGAAAGAAATCCAAGGACTGAGTTCAGTCAAGATGCTTTATTTCTACTGAGATCTGATGCCGTCTGACCAAATCCAACCAGCTGCACCCGGGAATGTCGTCCAGTTTCCTGGATGTCTCGCATCATTCCCGGAATTTACTGTAGAACCAGATAATAACAAACATGACATCTCAACCTTTAGACTAAACCTAAACTGTCTCTGATCGGCAACAATCACCAAAAATATTATATTTGCTTTATGACAGAAAGGACCCGACCACAGCCAATACCTGGTCTGATAAATAAAACAATCAACATTTTGCTTCATATCCTCCCAACATCTGGATCACACAGCGACATTTTAAAGTTGTGAGACAGTTTTCAAAACCTGAGACCACATGCAGCGATTTAAAAGAAGTATTGGAGAAAAGACGAGACGATCCAACATGCTGGATGTCAGATCAGAGCGGACCAGATCACACAGCAGGAATATTTCTTACAATTATCTGAAGAGCCGTCCAGATAATCGGGACGTCCTTAAAGTTGTTGGAATGACAAAAATCTACATTCAAATGTTTCTGTGCAAACCAGGAATCATTGGTAGCAACCAGATGATCGTCTTTAGGGTGACTGAGGATGTCCTGCTGAACAATGGAGCTGGACTTCAGGGGGACAGAACGACCAGATCAGACTGGAGATGGTTAAACTGATGCGCAGTGTAATAAAACAAATCTTAAGTCTTTCTCTTAAAAACACAGCTTGTGTTAAATGTTTGCAAACCAGATCTTGACTGCTGAACATACAGCAACTTTAGTTGCTCCCAGTGATTCATCTTTAAAGCAGCAGGTAGGAGAGATTATATGAGATTGTGACATTCATTTAGCTTTGGCTGGATAAACATTTCTTTTGGTTCAAAGCTGCAGTGAATCAGATTTGGCTTCTTTTCTGTTGGCAAATCGGAAACATCCGAAGCTTTGCCAGCTTTCTGCTTAAGTTGGAGTGCAGACAGCATGATCTGTTGTTTCTCTGTTTGAGAAGACGGCATTCTCCCTACTAACTGCATTTTTTAAGTCAGCTGGTATTTCTTTAACTGGCAGCTGTTTTTTTTGCCTTGTAGAAAAAGGTCCTGGGTTCAAATCCCGGCCTGCGCTCTTTTAGCATGCAGCTTGAATCTTCTCCCTCCAGAAACTCTGACTTTCTCTAAGAGTCCAAAAGCATTTCTGTTAGATCAATTACTCTCCATGTATGGTGCATGGTTGAAATGGCCTAGTCAAAGTCATGACCTCAGTCTGATTGAAAAAGTGTGGTGGAACCGTTTGTGAGTTGTGCAGAATCAAACGTCTGATAACATTAAGGAACTGAAACGACTGGATGCTGCCTTGGCTTCACTCACTGCTGCGTGTTTCTGTCACCTCAGTGTCATCCTGGTGGAGGTTTGTTTTTTAGCATGGCCACATCTGGGAGAAAATGTTCTACAGTTGTTTTTTACATGTTTTTCATTTAGTGAAGTGAGATTTTGCCTCAGTGGGAAACCAGGAGGATTTTTTTTTCCACAGACGAACTGATTGAACATGACAGCCACACCAGGCGACTGAAGGTTCCCAACTAAAATATTAACCACCGAGTTCATTTTCAGGATCTGTGAAATCACAGCTTAGGATGACTCACCCTGACTTATTTTACCAGGATATTTACTTTTTTATTACAGATACTTGTTTCATTTTTATTTGCGTTACTGAACCATCAGTTGAACCAGTGAGTCTCATGATGTTGCACCACATTCAGGCTGTAAGCCCGACTGGAGCTGATCGGTACCACCGTACAGAGTCACAGCAGAAACTTTAGTTTGTGAAGCGAAATGAGCATCTGTACACGACCACAATCTACCTTATTTTTCACTTTTTATAAAAAGAAAGTCTGGACACCGTGTTAAGATTGTTATTTTATACTTCTAAGATATATTTCTTTGTGCTTAGTCTATTTCCTGTGAGCATTTGATGCTAAAATCAAATCCCTTGTTAAACTCATGTAGATTATTTGAGATGAGCTGAGGAATGTTTGTTGGTTTGCACCCAGTCGTTTTCTTTAACCTCCTGTTTGAAAACGACGAGTTGTGGGTCCACCGTCTGATCTTAGCCTCACCCAGCTGTGTGGTGTGGAGGGACCACATGAGCCTGTCCAGCATTTAATGATAGAAAATGAGAATATTCTTTAAAAAATAGCTGCATACATTTTTCTGTCTTGGCTAACGGTCGGCTTATTTTTGCAGTGACCTTTGCTGCAGAAATTCCTGTTATCAGGTCTGCCTGCAGCAGATATAAGCAGAACATTTGTTCTTTTGTTGTCGCACATCACACTGACACCGTAGGTGCAGGTCTAACACCTTAACAAATGCTGGCCTCGTGTTTCCAAATCCCTGTCAGCGCCCACAGCGCCGCTGTCACCGGGAACCGGCGGCCATGTTCCAGCCTCAAGGCTGCACGCCGCCGTGTGTTTGGATCCACGCTGCCCTTGGAGACTCGTGGACACAAAGAGTGACATTTTAGGGAGCCGGGTCGGCGTCACTTAGATGCAGATGAGTGAATCCCAGGACGGCTCATATAGGCGGTAAACACAGGATGCGCCACAGATGCTGAACAGAGCTGACTGGCATCGGTGCCACTGAGCCAGAGTCTTGTTTGGGTGCCAACTCATTACAGTTCCCAGCAATACAGAGTGTCAAACCCAGGAAGCTGAGCTGCTTCCTGTTCTGTTCATCCACTTATTAAAAGTATCAGTTTCCAGGCAGAGATGGGAACGATTCGTGAAAACCTGCATTTTCACACTGTGGTATGGATAAAAAGACAAAACCAGTAAAAACAAGAGAAGAGGTTTTGTTGTGTGTTCTCTGGTGGATCTGCTCCTCTAATCATCCCACAGCGTTAAGGTGGAGCCCTGACAGTGTGAGAGGTCAACCAGCTGCTGAGGTTCGTCCTGCTTTACGATCCTCAGGCAGCAGCAGGTGTGATTATCAGAGGAATCTGATAATCACAGGAGGCAAACTCTCCGACCGATGAAACAACCAAACAGGGGAAAAATCTTTTCCTTCACACAACACAACTTATTTACAAATCAGCTGCACAGAAAACTCTAAACAAAATGTACTGTTTAACATAAATCAGGTGATAATATAGAGATATAGAGCCGTAATATTCATCTAAATATTGCTGAAAAAAATATGAATTGGCAGATTTTGATCTTTTTTGCATTCTTTGAAAAACAAAGGCTTGTTGCTTCGGTGGCCAACATGGACATGATCAGTGACTCAGTACTTGAGTTGGATTTTTATAAAATACATTGTAAACATTTTGGCCTGAAGCCGATTAGAGAACAATAAAAACACCAAGACAACACAAATATCCTCCACACCAATGAGCTGCGTGTCTCAATTTATGGATGTTTTTACATGTTGTAACATTAATGTAAAAAGTGTTCTGTTATAAATAGTCTTCAATTTACCGACATGATTCTGCCGTTTTCTTTTGAATGTGACGTCAGCGTTCCTAATGAATCTGCAGCTCTGACATGTTTTCCTGCGTTTCATCATCTCCTGGTTCTAAAGCCGCTTCAATCGAGACACTGTAGCTTTAAATCGCCTTCCTGTTCCTGATGGATGCAGAAATGCTCAGTTAGAGTTCAGTACAGTTCTGTTTCTCCTTAGTTAGATTTTTCGCTTCTTTTTGTTGCTGTTTCTCATAATGATTGACAGAACACATTTGTTTCTGTGCAGAGACTCCCTGAAGGTGACAAAACTGATTTTTCTTCATTTCTGTGTGACAGTTTGACTTTTCTAATTTTGGCCAAAACATAATGCATATTGAATGATTTATGGTGACATTTTAAAAGGTAATCAGCTAAAATACAGAGACAGAAGCATTGCGACGCGTTTAGAGGCTATATTTCTGAAACCCTTTCAAACATATTTGGTGTTATATTAATGTGGTGTTGACTCATTGTGTCTTTATGATGTGTTAGACCAGGTAGGCGTTGTATTTTGAGCTCAGGTCTTTCCAGAAAAGCAGCATCACATTTGTTATGTTTTATGTGGATGTTTGATTCCAACCAGCTCAAATGAAGTCATGCATACAGCGATACGTTTAAATCTGTCTTAAACTTCATGTTTCAGAACCATTCCTTCAGAGTAAAACCGTCTGTGCTCTGCTGTGCCTCAGGGAGACTCTTTGAGGACGAACATCCAGCTGGACTTTGGCGATGGCACAGCGGTGTCCTACTCCAACCTGAGCTGGACGGAGGAGGGAATCAAACACGTCTACAAGTCAGCGGGAATATTCCGAGTTACGGCGCTGGCAGAGAACACGCTGGGTTCCGATACCACTACACTGTATCTGCACGTCACATGTGAGTGTTTACAGAATGCTCAACCCACCATTTACCCAACATCAACCCAACATCAACCAAACATCAACCCACCATTTACCCAACATCAACCCAACATCAACCCAACATCAACCCAACATCAACCCAACATCAACTCAACATCAACCCACCATTTACCCAACATCAACCCAACATCAACCCACCATTTACCCAACATCAACCCAACATCAACCCACCATCAACCCAACATCAACCCAACATCAGCCCACCATCAACCCAACATCAACCCACCATCAACCCAACATCAACCCACCATCAACCCATTTACCCAACATCAACCCAACATCAACCCACCATTTACCCAACATCAACCCAAC